TTGCTGCTAGTTAGTTGTGTTACTTTGCTTGCTGCTTGTTCTTACCCTACCTCGGCCGCTTCCTTCGCTAGCATGACATTAATGTGTAACCCAATGCATATTGACGCACCGCGGACCAGGATCACATTTCAATCAGGTATTGGGAGTCATAACCTTCAAGAACCATGTATAGGAACCCCTGGATAAGCTACATTGAACAAACCCTACTTACCAGGGCGCCGATCCATCTCATCGCCACCCTTCGTCCCGCGGCAGGGATAGAGTAACATGTAACTCCTCTCGTTTATCATTGGGGCTAATGAAGGGTGTCTGTCTCTATTTCTAGCTTCGAGAGACTCTCTACCAAACAGATGACCATGTTACTGATATAAAAATGGGATGTCTTACCTTTCTTCTCACGGTGACTCGTGGCGATGACGACGGCCAAATATTCAAATTCATTGAATGGTGAGTCAATTACTTTGTACTCTGCAGCTAATTAACTTCTACGACGGCCACTGCAGCTTATTTCTCGTACATGTGGCTCAATCCTGAAACTCTAGGGTAGCACCACGGATGAGATTGGTTGCAGCAATGTATCAAACCAAGGACCAGAGCTACTGGATGGAACGGAGCGGATCGAGCATCTGACCTTAATTGCTGGTTCTGCTTCTCATTAGATAGATTGGCAGCGTAGACATCAGCCTGTTCGACATGCTGACGTGAGCTGGCATGAAATCACCGAGTAGAAAACTATCGCTAGCCTATACCCACGCATTCTCTTCGCTCCCGTCACCGTCTGGGCGATTTATCATTCTTTCGTTTGCCATCATCTTCTTATTATTACAAGCCTTCCTGTTCAAGATGATCTCTCGTACTGGATGGCGGTCCTCCCGTGCCTTTGTTACGCTGGTTGTTTCTGTTGCTATTTTCACTGATATTTTCCTCTACGGACTGATTGTACCCGTGCTACCCTTTGCCCTAAAGGTGCGAATGGGTTTGCCAGAGAACGATATCCAACGCTGGGCCTCGACATTTCTAGCTATCTACGGAGCCTCGATTTTTCTAGGTTCTTGTACGCATCAACAACCAATCTCCACATCTTTAACATCCTGACGCACTCCGTCTGACATGAACCCCCCAAATCTGCAGTACTCTTCGGCTGGATAGGCGATCACTCAAAGACAAGACAAGGCCCATTCCTACTCGGCCTAGTCATCGTAGGCGGCGCCACTCTCATCACCGCCCTCACAACCTCCCTGCCTCTATTTCTTCTAGCCCGAGTGCTACAGGGCCTCTCCACCTCCAGCATCTTCACAATTGGCTACAGCCTCCTCCTCGACACCGTCGGAACCAACCACATCGGAAGCGCCTTGGGCTTCACCAACCTGGGCCTGAGTCTCGGGCTCTTTGCCGGGCCCATCATCGGCGGCTTCATCTACGATATAGCCGGCTACGTGGCCGTCTTTGCCCCGGCATTCGCACTCATAATCATCGAGACAACCCTCTGCTTGCTCCTCAAGCCCCTACCACCCGGGTACAAACACCATCCATCATCCGAACACCATCCACCGCCCGAAGCATCACCTCTACTACACGATGGACAATCCCAATCCTCACCCCCAACCATTCTCCTCCTCCTCCGCTCCCCCCGCTTCCTCGTCGCCATGATAGGCATGTGCATGCTCAACACCTTCATGACAGCCCTCGAGGCCGTCCTCCCCGTCTACCTCCAGGGCCTCTTCCATTACACATCCAGCCAAATCGCCCTTGTCTTCCTGTCCAGCTCCCTCCCCCTAATGGTTCTTTCTCCTCTGGCCGGCTACTGCGTGGACAGAGTCGGTCCCTTCTGGCCCGCTGTTTCGGGCTTTGCGCTCGCAACCCCGAGCATGATGCTTCTGGGTGTGGTTCAGCAGAATACGGCCCTGCATTCGGTGCTTCTACGTGTTTTTCTGTTCCTGTTTGGCTGCGGGGTGGCTATGGCCATACCTGCCTCATGACGGAAATTAGCAGGGCGACTGAGAGGCTGCATCCGGGAGGTTGCGGTGCGTCTTCGCAGGCGTATGGCCTGAGTAATGCTGCTTTTGCGGCTGGGACGCTGGCGGGGCCGCTTTATGCGGGGTATATTAGGGAGTGGGCTGGGTGGGTGGGTTTGACTGGTTCGATGGGGGTGTTTGGTCTTGTTACAGTGGGTTTGGTGGTTGTTTTAC